CCAGTGAGGGTGCCAGAGCACTGGAACAGGCTGCCCAGAGAGGTTGTGGAGTCTCCTTCTCTGGAGATCTTCAAACCCGCTTGGACGCAGTCCTGCGCCACGTGCTCTAGGTGACCCTGCGTGTGCAGGGGGTTGGACTAGATGACCTCTAGAAATCCCTTCCAACCTTCAGCATTCTGTGATTCTATGATTCTATGATTCCCTCGTGGGCTTTCCCAAATTGCAGCTCTGGCTGGAGGTGGCCATGGCAGCCAAGGGGCAGTGCAGGCAGACCTGGGCCATGTGTCAGTGACAGCACGAGGACATCTCATCCATTGGGCTGGGAAGGCAAACACGAACCCTGCACAAGCTGCTGAATCCCACCCAAAACCTACCAGCTTATGTGGACCAGGACCGACCCATGTTGGGAGCAGCACAGTAAAACGAGCCAAGATGAAAGTCTCTGTCCCTCCAGGCTGCTTGAGGTACAGTCATTCTTCAGGTCAGATGAATTCTTGGAGCTCAAGGGCATAACATGGGCTGTTCCTGTAAACCGAATGCCAAGAGAAATGAAATCTCTGAATTTCATTGAGATTCCTAAAGCTAGATTCCCAAATCACAGTGTTTCACAGGCAAATGAGGTTTGTCGTGGTGTCAATGTGTATAAAGAGGAACCAGAAATTTCTCATTGCACATCCTGAGCGAATCCAAAAGACACAGCAGAACTACCAGGGAGCAGCGAAAAGCCAAAGTGGTGGCTGAGAGGGGGGCTCTAGGGATGGGGCTGGAGGCCCCGCAGAGAAACCATTCTGCTTCTGTTTGGATTCTGCTGTGTTGAAGAAAACAGGACTTGTAGAAAATTCTTGGTGAATAAACAGGATTACATCAAAGGAATACCTGACGCTGTGATCAAAGCTGTGCGCAAGACTAGTCGCTGGCTGCTGCTTTGAATCAAAGTTCACCTGCCAAATGTCAGGTTAAATTCTGCAGAATTTGAAAGGTAACAAAAAAAGATTTTTTTTCCTCACTCTTGCATTTCATCCAAATCTTCTCTTTGCAGGACCTCATGCTATATACTCCCCTAGTCCAAACAGAGGTAGGAACACTCCCACTCATCGGAATCTGCTGTTAAATGTGTGGCCGAAATGTCACCCAAATGGCAGAGGTGTCATCTGATTCCATGCTGGTCTTTTCAGAGGAACCAGTAGCTAAGATGCTCCCTTCCTCAGCGGTACCAAAACTCCCCTGCTGTGAAGGGGAGAACGTGTCCTTAATGAGGGAATTTACCTTTGTAAAACAAACTAAGAGCTTTCTGTGGAGCAACCGGGGGAGCTGTTTGGTGTGGCCAGGGCTGCTGTTCATGTCATCAAGGAGAAGATTTCATTTAGGTGGGAGAAGGAGGCAGAAGCTTTGTCGTCGCTGAGCAGGGAAAAGAAGAGCAGAGCCGAGGGAGTGCAGAGGAGGGGAAAAGATGCAGGCAGGGCCTGAGTTCCAGATTGCCTGGAAGGGGTTGTGAGAATCCCATGCTGGAATCATAGCAGTGACCTGCAGCGTTGCTCTATCTTTCTGTGCAGTTTATCATGGGGTGATTGCTCTTAGGCCGGGTTTGTTTCCTACCTGAACTGTCCAGGTAGTTTTTCCTTCCAGATACTAAGAAAACAGAGACCAGCGAGGACGGATTTGTCTGTTCCGGGATGCAAAGCAGTATCACAAAGGTGAAATGAGACTTTTTATCTGAAATGGGGAACAAATCAGCATTTTTTCCCCAGGTTTACTGGAGCGCAGCCCGCCCGGAGAGGAGCAGGAGGGGCGTTTCTGCAGCTCCATGCGTGCACAGCCCTGCCGGAAGGCATCTGGTGCTCGTGCTGCTCACTGCCAATAAATCAAGGGATTTGCCTCCCACTTTTATCATGGATAAAGAATCCTGATCCGAGCGCTGGCTCCTTGCCAGGCTTGTGTCCTTGGGCGTCGGGGAAGAGCCGTGCTACTTCTGGTGACAACCAAATTAAAGCTCCTTCCCCTCCTGCGACCGTCCTGGCTTCGAGGAGGCAGCGCTCGAGGCGGGCCAAAAGGAAAGCATCTGTCCAAGGATGACCCTATCATTCCCTATAATTGGATCGGATTTTCTCTCCTGGCTGTTAGCGAAGTGTTTATGAACAGGCTGCCGTTTTCCCCAATTTGCTCTTTGAAATAACGGGTCTGATTTGTCTTTGTGGTTCTTCAAGTGCAGCCTAGTGCGGTGCTATAGAAAAACAGACTCCAAGTGCTCTTGGGTGACTTGAGGCTGTTGTGTGTGTGGCCCTGTTTCCCTGTGGGAGGGATGTTACTTTTTGAGGCAGTTTTTATCCCATATATTCATGGTTTTGCATCCATAATGTGTATTCTAGCATGCCTCCCAGGAGACCAGGAACGCTGGTGCCAGAGCTGGTAGCTGAGCACAGAGAGCACATTGGAGTCCTGCTTCAAATTTACTGCTTTTGTAAAGTTTCCTGCAAAATCATTTGCAGAAAATGTGGAAGGGGAACAAATGCCTTCAGAGCAAATGTGTTTATGACCTGAGTTCATAAAAAAAGCTTTAATTTAGCTTTCTACACCAGAAATAGGTATGACATGTCAGCAGGCTGTATTCCAGTGTACTTCACTTATTTTCACACTGTGGAATATTCCTGTTCTGCCAGGTAATTACATGGACTTTAATAATAGCTGCATGCAAATGTATATACATATGCAAGAAAAAAAAAAGTGTTTGACTGCAAAAGCAATGAATAAACAACTTTTTGGAAGGGCAATCCTCACACCTTGTTTATGTCACAGGTTGCACTGACTGAACTAATGATTCTCAGATAGATTGAGTTAAACAGGTACCTGCCTTTCTGGGAATCCCTTTAAGTGGATGCAAAGCTGGTTATGTTATTTCAGCTTAAATGAGGAAGCCTCAAGCTACAGGCGCGTGTTTAAGTGCAGGGAGGTTGCAGCAACTCAGAAAATAGCGAATTACTGCCCTCCTGTGAGCCACAGTACCTGGCTGTGTGCTCTTAGGCTGATACCAGGGCAAAATAAAATGTTTTAGCTTAAGCCACGTCTTTTTGGGTGGCTGTTGGAAGGGATTTTCCTCTTCTCCAGCTCCGGGAAGCAACGGCATCGCGCTTATTAATGCTGTTCTGTTCCACCTGCAGGAGGAGGAAAGGAGGAGGGGAGACCTCAGACCTGAGTCGTCAGGCGGCCGAGAAAAAAAAGAAACCGGCCCGAGGAGCTCCCGAGCTCCGGAAGGCAAATTCCCTGGTGAGTATTCCCGGGATGCGACCGGAGCAGCCAGGGCCCCGTGTCAGCTGCTCCCAGCAACATTTTAGCTCAGAGCACGGAGCTAACTTGGGGAACTGTGAAATTCTGCTCCTGGCTCTCAGGCTGCCAGGCACATTTGCTGCTTGTCCCTGAGGGAGGTATCCAGCCAGAAGGGATGTAAGGGATGTAAGGGATATAAGCAGAACACCATGGCAGGCTGCTCCGGAGACAATCTCTTTGCAGCCTAGACATGGTCCATCTGCCTTGGTGGGAAATGCACTCTGTGTGTGTGGACACTGATTTTTGTCACAGTTTTCAGCCCAGTATCCTGCCAGCCAGTTTCCATGCTTCACAAAGCACTGCATCAGCTCTCTTAGGACACTTAAATCTCTGCCCAAAGCTGCTCCTCTGCGCTCACAACTTCTGAGCATTGTAGTCTGGTGTCGATTTATGCTTTGCTCATTGCACCAAGCCGGAGCAGGCAGCCCTTAGGTCTTAATACTGCGGATTCATGGCACTCCTTGCTGCTAAAACAGGGCATCCTCACATGAAAGCAGGGCAGGGAAGTCAGGATTGCAGGCAGCACCACGAGTCTCAGCTTTTGTAGCTGTAGCAACAAACAACTGCTAGAAGAAGGACGTATTTACAAGCATAGTGGATGTTTTGCAAACTGGGGATGCGTCCCCTAACTGATGAAATGTAGGGAACACATGTGAGTTGAGCTAAAAAAGGTTAACATGAAAGAGACGCGTTGTTTCCTGAGACTGGGAGGCCTTCTCCTGACCCAAATACAGCCTGTCTGCCAGGAAATGGATTCAGTCACTGTTAAAGAACAGAAAATATCACTAAAGTTATTCAGCCCATGTCTTACGATTTGCATTCTCCAAAGGCTGCTTCAAGCAGCCATTAGATCAGAGAGCCCTTACAGAGATTCATTCCACTGTGGGTTCTTGTTCCAAATCTAAAACTGTTTTCTTGTCAGCACAGAAGTGAATGGTTCTTAGTTCAGGGTAGAAAAAGGTGACTTTGGTCTTCTTTCCCAGATTTTTGGAAAATTCTGTCATCTTCTAAGCTATTTAACCAGCAACTCACAATCAGAAAGACACAAGTATCCAGGCTGGCTCCCGATGTGAAGTCCTCTCCTGTGTAACATCAGTGGGAGGTTTTGCTATAAGATGCAAAGTTGTCTTATTTATTCTCCATGTAATCCCCAATTACAGCCCTGCTGTTATACTGGCCATTACTGTTTACAACACTACCTGACAATAAAGAAAAATATAGGATGATGCACAGAAAAAGAATATATATAACTAGGAATTATCCTGAGTTAATCTCTGTTTATTATTATTAGCACTGGGGAATCTTGTTGAAATGAAGACCTGTTAAAAACACTCATATTTAATCAAGTGCAAATAAAGAGGCTTAATGCCTCCTTGGAAGCCAAATGAAATATGTTGAAAGGATAAGTGCCCCAAGCAAGCAAACATCCAGTCATATTAAAATGAAGCTGCCAAAGGAACAGATCAATGATCCAAGAAAATGAGAATGAAGGATATTACAACCAACAGGGAAGATGTGTAAAGGGCTATTATACCGATTTCCAGAGCAGAAGGCTAAACAACACCCGCTGAACACCAAAATGGAAGGGAAAAAAGTAATTAAGGTCATGACCTAACTCCTGGAATTACCTCCACTGGCTCCAGGTTGGCATATGGTGAATCAGTTTTCCTCCCAGTAAACTTGTGGGGTTGGGGAGTTTATTAGTAATCAGGCAAATAGCGGCAGAAAAGACACAAGACCCACATTTAATTTACAATAAATTAAAGTAAATTAAGGTGAATTAGGTAAATTACAATAACTAGTAAATTACAATGCATTAAAGTAAATTAGGTCTCTGAGTGAAGGGCCACGTTCCTTCCTCCCAGCGTGCGTGCAAGGCTCACGTCCCTGCAGTGCACGGGGAATACGGAGCTCCGGGAAGTTCCTGGAAGAAACAGTGATTCCCCTTGGTTTGTAGCGTGGAAAATGCCTGACTTTAAGGCTGTGTAATTCCCAGCACTGTAATTCCCAGCTACTTTATTAGGAAGGTGGAAGCTCTGCAGCTTGGTGCTTCTGGCGGTGCTTTGCGATTGCTGCAATGCTGGGTTTGCCTTTCAGCTCTCTGCTTGTTGCTGTTTGAGGTACTCCACCTTCACGGCCGTTCTTGAATCACTGCCTTATTTTTAGCACTCCCTAAACATCTTTTTGACAGGAGCAGTCGCTCTTGCCTCACCGCCTGTATCCTAAGGGAAGGAGACTCCAGCATTTGAAGTCAGGAGTAAATTTTCCTATATCTTCTTGCCCAGGAGTTTCAAGTATGGATCACGTTTATGTTAGGTGGGACATATCCCACACGAATATCCGGGGCTCTAGGCACAGACACCACAGCCCTGTGCAGGGTGTATTGACACCACCTATATCCTGCAAAGCTTATTTGGAATTTTACTCACTTGTACAAGAAATTCTTCTGAACTTCATGGGACTGCTCCTGAGAGGGAAAATGACTCAGGATAATGTTGTAAATTCAAGCTCAGCTTATATACGTGACTCTAATTTTAAAGGCATAGCCTGGCCTTGGGCTTTATTTCTCTTTGCCAAGAGAGGCTGTGTCTTTCTGCACAGCCTTGTTACTGTGGGCACTAGTTGCACATCAAACTTATCTGCCCTTGTTGCTTCTTAATGAGTTTCCACATAAGTCCTTCCATTCTGTAGTGTTCATTATCCTTAGCAAGTCATTTGTATCCAGTAAAGAGCCAAGGGTGTTGGTCTGCAGCGCTTTCCCCTGTGCTTTTTAAATATTTAGGACATTTTTCAAGGAATAAACAATCACTGTCTTGCTAGGATATTTTTCTGCTCGACTTTTATTCCAATTGGAAATTGGTTATTGAACAATGTTAATATGAACATGGTTTGCACTGCGAGACTCCCAAAGAGCAGGCGGGACCGGGAGGAGCTGGAGCCAGCAGCATGGGGGAGAATCTGCACATTCACTTGTGAGTTAATGTGGAGAGTCAATTAATGAGGGTTTGGCCTTGCTGACATCAACTTCTAATTGGGTTCTTTTGTCCTTAAGGTTAGCACATACCAGAGCCCCCGTGCAGTAATACAAAGTGATGCTCCTGTCATAAGTTAGGGATACAATTTATAGATTAAAGATCTCAAAGGGCCCCAGCATTGCTGGTTCCTCTGGGGCTGGTAGGATAACACGACACTTGTTGCCTTCTCTTCCTAGCTGTCACTTTCGGCAGATCTTGAATCTGTCCCGAAAACTCCCGGTCGTCCCAGCTGGGCCGCTCGCCAGCCCGCGGGAATCCTCAGCAAAGCAGCGGTGAAGACCCTCGTCCAAAGCTCCCGGTGGAACGCGGGGATCCGACCAGCGCCCGTGCAAGCGGCAGCGCCGACGCGGCGGGAAAGAGGGAGGAAGGACTCCAGCAGGACACGCAGCAGCTGTCCATGTTAGTAGGCTCTCCCGTCTCATTTGGAGGCTCCTGTAGATCCCATCCGAGCTCGGCACACACAGGGAAGGAGAAGGTGCAGGAATATTCCTGTGGGCAAAGCAAAGCGAGCCTATTCTTGCAGGCAAGGGAGAAGATGGTCATTCGGGGTGGTAGGAATACAAATGGGCGTGTTTTGCTGCCTGGAAAGTGAACATATGGCCCAAAATTTCAAATCTAGCCATTACTAGATCCACCTGTCTGTCATGGCCACCAGGAACACCAAGGGCTTCACTGTGAGTTTAGCTCTGTAAAATTCCATGGCAAAGCAAGGAATCAGAGGTGCAAATTCACAGGGGGCTCAGTCCAAAGTCCATCCACTCTGCCAGGCCCTGGCTGGATGCCAGGAGGAATGGGTATTACTGGGTTATTCAGCAAATTAGAAAGCATCTTGCAGAATAGCTGAGAAAGCAGCAGGTACATGTGGGCCTTCCAAAAATAAGGAGGCAAACTGCCACCGTTGAGAATAATTTTATGCCATTTGGCATAAAATCTGGCTTGGGCAGCTCTTCCGTTAGACTTGACCTCTTGGTACACCCAGCACCTCCGGAAGGTCCTCCCGAGGGTCTGTGGTTTGCTGGGTAGATATTTGGTATCTCAGAAGCACTCTGTGCTTTTGCAGGAGGTGGAAGTCCTCGTGGTCCACAAGGGAGTTGTCCAGGTAGGAATTGCAGTTTGGGACCCCTGGTTATTTTTCAGCAGACAAACAGGGGTTGTGGATAAAGAACCTGGAGTGGACAAGGGAAGAAGACATCTACCGTGATGCTGTGTAGGATTTTAAGAGGTTGTAGAGTGAGGGCAGCTCCAACAAGGCAGTGACTGCTGTAATGATCCCATGTAGGAGGAGGAGAACGGAGCATGTGGAGACCTGCAGGATCTTCCCAGCTTCCAGCATTATTAGCAGATGCACAGGCCAACCCCCACAAAGAGGGCCCACGGGGCAGATGACTGATCCCAAATCCTTCCGTGGGAGACAGAGGAAAGGGTTTAAACACAGACCGGGGATAACACACTGGGAAAGGTGCCGGGATGGAGCTCGCTGCAGAACCATCCAGCCCATAGAAATTTAAAACCAGGCCCTCAGACAAGCCTACAGCTACCTACGAACCCCAGCACTGCGATCCAAAAATTACCACGGTGAACTGTCTCTGGGGGATTGCTTCTGGATTAGGGGCAATTTGCTAGGCAAAACTATACATTTTTGGTATAAATCCTCCCTTAATGCCTTCAGTGACCTCCCTCAGACCTCTGCTGGACTTTTCTCAGGGTAAATGCAGCAGCTTGGGGCTTGTGTTCCAGCTGAGCTGCACCAGGCTGACTTGCAGAATGTCAGAAAGGTGGGCAGGAAGATTAAAGAGGTTTTGACATTTTTATTTTCTGTATAATGAGATGATGAATGGAGACAGTCCTTCTATCCTATCCAGATTTGTAAAGGCATTTGCAGTATTAAATGCCACCAAAATCCCAAGGATTGGCTAAGTACCTAACTATCTTTAAAATCTGAATTCTCTAACTAAATGTATCTGATTCTCACGTTTTTTCTCCTTCTAGCACCTCCAGTGTTTGAGGCGCAGCCATGGCACATTCCTCCCTCAAACCAAGGATCTGATACGGAGTGAGGAGGATCCGGAGTGTCTTTCATGGCAGCAGAACAAAGGCTTATCTGCCTGGGAAACAACAGGAGCATTAAGTGAATCCCAGGCTGTGCTCAGTGAAGAGCTGCCGCTTTTGAATCCTTCCTAAGGACCCAGCTTTATTTTTATCAGCTGTCACTAAAAGGGACATTCTCATTGACCTGGAAATGGGCAAGGAGATCCTGGCCCATTCTCACTTGCCCGTGCAGAACCCTGCTAGAGACACTCGTCCTCGTTGTGCTGAGCTTCCCTGTGTCACCCGGGCATCTCAGGGCACATCCCATGGCCTGAGCTCCTCTGGAATGCTTTCCCAGGGAATTACAGGAAAATTTATCTCTCTATGGGCAAGGGAAGGTTCTCACCAGCCACCAGTGATATAAGTGGTGTCCTCACTACAAAGCCAAAGGCTCAGGGAAAACGTCTCCAGTTCCACACAGCAACTCCATGATCTTGACCAAAGTTTGTGAGACTGAAGCCAGATCCTAGACTCTGGAATACAGCAGTGCACAGGGCTCTGTGTCAGGAGCTGATACCAGCCTGATTATTTAAGAGAATGGAAATAAGGCATGAAGGAGATATCCAGCAAAGTCAACAAAGAGGAATTTCTAAGGATAAAGGTACGAAATCCACAGCAACTCGAACTCACTGCCAGGAAAAAGGGCCTTTCCATGTGGCAAGAAGTACAGTACATCCATGAATCGTCAACATTGACAGGTCAGAAATCATGTTTCAGAGAAAACACTGGCTATTAACTGACAAGGATTGGGAGAAGAGCTCCCCTCTGCGAGCAGATTATTCAGTGCTGTTTTAGGTGGCGTTTCAAGGGGTGCTGACTGCTGTTGTGACAGGCGTGACCAGCAAAGACTCTGCTGGTTGGGCTGCTGGGTGCATTTGGGGGCCAAATCAATGATCAGATGATTCTGTGATCAACGATCAGATGATTCTGTGATCAACGATCAGATGATTCCGTGATCAATGATTAGATGATTCAGAGCATCTCCCTCTCCCAGGCGTCACTCTTTGTTCTTTCTCGTTGCTCTATGTGCTTGAAAAGGGGGGATATCTCACCCAAAGGAACGGTCTAAGAGCTGGTTGCCTGAGCTCTCTTGCTTGTACCTGAAAGAGAAACTTGCAGATGACAAAATCCTGCATATTTTAGCATCCAGAGATTACCTAGGAGCCTTGATTGACCAATTCCAACTGAGAAAGCTAACTTTGGGGTATCTGAAGTTAGCTTGGGTAAATCCCATCCAAAACATTCACCAGCACCAATTCCCTGGTATTGCAGCGCTCTCACCACAAGCCTTTCCTCCCGGAAAACCAAGTTAAATTGAGAGCATCATGGATGTTCCTGTGGCTTCTTAGGCATCTTCTTTCTTTTTCTCTCATTTAGGCCAGGCTTAGCTTCGTGCATGATGTATGGCAGGGAGCCATGCATCCTGTGTGCTCACTGCATGTTTTAAGGCCATTGCTCACTGCATGTTTTAAGGCCATCTCCTCTGCTCTTTTTTTCTATTTTTTAATTCATTTTTATATATATGTATATTTACGATGCTGTAAAATTACTAATTAATGTTGTTGCCCAGGACTCTGCAAAGCCAAATCATCTATCCTTGAAATAACAGCAGGTCTATGGAGTGCCTTAATGCAACTCCCACCATTTATTAGAATAAAATATATATTTGCCATATGCTTCACAAACATTCCTGAGGTAACAGGACGGGCCAGGACCTGGTCCAGAGAGACACAGAGGCTCCATCCGCTGCCTCCGCCGCTGGCCCTGGGCAAGCGGAATCGCCCCGGGCTGCTGATCTGCAGAGGCAGATGGGATTTACCCCGCTTTGATAACGTGCTCCGAGATATGCGGATAAGAAAACGCTAAATAAGAGCAGAGGAGGGTTGTTTTGCGTGTGCCTTCCCTTGTAGATGTGCATTTCCCTGCACCGCTTGGTATTTCCAGATCCTGCACAAGGCCGATTAGCCGCGGCGCTTGATTAAAGAACTCAAAGTACCTCCTAAACCCCGGGGGCCGATGAATCAGCGTTGCTGCATGTGAATTCCAGCAGTAGGAGCAAGATCAAAATGCAGGCCCTAGGCTACAGCCACGCTCAGATGTGGGGAGCAAACCCAAACACGCCGGCCGCACTGTTACCCAAGCTTTACCACCCGCTTCTGCCCCAAACTCCACCGGAATTCACCTGGTGCTCCTTGCCGAGAGCCGCGGCACAGTTTGGTGTTGAAGCTTGGCTTTGAAGCCAACGTGAAGTTTTCCTCATTATTGCTCTTCGGAAGAAACAGGGATTTGGTTCAAGAAAAGGAGCGTGTGCAGCAGAAGCTGATGGGAGTCACGGGTGGGAGCAGAGTTCCATTAAAAAGGGGGAATTGGGGGAAACTTCCCACTGAAGGGGCAGCCGCGGGAAGGAGGAGCATTCACGGAGCCAAGTCCCAGCTGTGGTTGCTCCAGGTTATCATGGGGCAACACGTGGGTACAGAGGAGCACGGAGGCGCCCAGGCAAATGGGAAGAGGCCAATGACAGTAGCTGAGGGCGAGATAAAAACTTGCTGCAATGGGTGGACGTAGCCGGTAGCGAGGAGAGCGCCCAGACCCGCTCATGCAACGGGGCGCAGGGCTGAGCGATCGGCGACGCAGCACGCGGGGTCGCGTTTATGGACGTGGAAATTAAGGGAAGGGAGTGGGAAGGAGGATCAATTTGAGGGCAATGCCTTGGCCTCGCAGCAGCCACCTCACTGCGTCTGGCAAGGGCCTCCCGTGTGTCCCGTGCTCCTTGGGGACCAAGTCACACGACGGGCAGGGACACCCGGCCTCTCACCACCCCTGCAGAACCGGGTTATTTCCCGGGAAATCCTCGCCTTTCCCATCTCCGTTGCTGCAGAGGGAGGTGCCAGCAGGATCCGCCCGCTCCGACGCCGGCCGCCTACCTGGTTGCAGCTGCTCTGCACCCGTGCAGTCCGTATCCCGCTCTGCAAACCACTTCCAAGGAGCCGGCTGGCAGCTTGGGAGACCTCCTAGGATGTGAAACCCCCGGTGCAGGCAGGTCCAGGCGCTGCACAGCACATCCCGCACCAAGGAAGCTGGATGCAGCCCTTGGGAATGGTGCCCGGCAGCGCTTCCAGGCTGCTCCCTCCCAGCATCGCTTCCCACCGCCAGGATGCTGCCAAACCCCGATGGATGCTCCAGGATGATGTAGGAGCCAAGTCCCGATGCTCGCGCCGTTCCCACGTGCCCAGGCCCCTTTCTGCAAGCCCTGCTACCCAAATCTGCGCCAGCCGCGAGCGCCGTGCCAAAAACCTCTCATTTTGCCTCTAAATCACACGGCTTTTGAAGAAAGTGCTTTGGAGTTCCCCTTTGCCACCTTCTGCGGCAAAGTCACTCCCGCTGGATTACTCCTGTTGCCTGTTCCTGGCTGATCCAGCGGTTTTTCCTATTCCCCCAAACCACGAGAGCGGGACACATAGAGATGCCACCAGCTCTCCTCAGCTGCAAAGACGCCGGAGGAGAGCGCTGGAGGAGACGTCACTGCAGGTCCCTGCTTGGGGATGCCAGAGCTCCCGCGGGCTCCAGGAATCCCTGGACGCTGGTGGATCCCCACAGCCCTTCACAAGCACCGCAGCGGCCGGTGCCTCCAGAGCCCTCGGAGCCGGATTCCGCCTTTGTGTGGAGGTGGAGGGAGCTCCTTGAAACCCTTTGCCACCATCTAGTGCCAAGAGGGAGCAGAGGAAGGAGGACAAGGGACACAGGGATGGTGTGGAGGAGGCTCAGGGGAAACCTTATCGCTCTCTGCAACTACCTCTGTAGTGAGGCGGGAGTGGTTCTAAATCCCCCAAATAACCATGGATAGGACAAGAGGAAACGGCAGGACAATGGAAATGGTGCCAGAGGAGGTTCGGGTTAGGCATTAGGAAGAATTTCCACATGGAAGGAGCAGTGACGCTAGGCACGGGCCGCCCAGGGAAGCGGTGGAGT